CAGGTATCAGTGGAACATAATAGACAGCATAAATAGTTTCACTTATAGTTATTTTATTTCCACAAAAGCATCAAAGCAATTCAATGGAGAAATTTTTTTGAAAAAATTCTTTTAGACTGGTTAACTACACGGATAAAAGTGAACTTTGACAGGTGTATCGCACTTTAATAGAAAATGTATTCAATAAGAATAATACCAACTCAATAAAACACAAATGTAAATGCAAAAGGTATATAGATTCTAAAAGTCAATATAGGATATGTTTATAACCTTTTGGTAGGCAAGGATTTCTTCTAACACAATGAATAAGCAAAGGATGGCCAAATAGAGATACCTGCCATTTGTCCTCTTCACTTAGCCACACAAAAGAAGACCAAAAGCAGCAAATAAACAGCTAAAATTTGACTAGAGTATTGAAGTGAAAGAGCTGGAGTACAGTGTGGCAGTGAAGAGGAACCTGTGGCGACTGGAAGTCTAGGAAGACAGCATGGAGGCACTTGGCCTCTGAAGCCCCACCTTCCCTATCCAGATCAGATCTGCCTGGAGTAAGGAGGGACTTCCTGTTGTGGGGAAGAGGTAAGCACAAGATCCCCAGTGACCCCCATTACCACCACAAAAACCTACAGTCCTTATAACAGAGGAAAACCCACAGTCCTTGAAAGCCCTGAGCCCAGTTTGGAGAACTGCCAGAAATTCATGCAGCTGCATTGCCCCAAATTAAGAGCACAAGATATTCAGTCCCAACCCTGACTCACCCCTTGTGAGCAAAGCTCCAGCAGCATGGCACCCTCATGAGACCAGAGCCACCTCTGCAGTGCATCCTGCTGTGGGGGACCAGTAGCCACTGCATTGGGGCTCCATCTTCATGCCACCAAGCCCACACAGGTGGTGGAACACCACAGTTCTAGCTGTGTGAAGCTTGGGCCCAGGATTGGCTGTGACTCTGGTCCTGCACCGCAGAGAAGCCAACCCCTACTGGTCATTTCCCACTGGAGGAACAGTCTGGCAGTACTGTCGAAGGCAAACACACCTTTGAGCTGGCCAGACTGCCTCTTACCCTATCTCAAGATGGAGAGGCCTCCAAGCCTCCAAGCAGCTGATATGTTCCCAGCCATAGAACCTAAGAAACAGACCTGCAGAATCCCCACCCAACATAGCCATGGCCCTGGCCCACCCAATGGCCTTGCACCTATAATCAGGGACAAAAAAAATGGTTCCACAGGCCCTAGGCCAGCCAAGCAGTCAAGAGTCTACAGCCTGAATGTGTGAAACAGCCTCATGGGCCACTCCCAGCCGAGCAGACTTGCTGCAATGTCACAGGCCCAAGAAATAGCACTGTGCCCACCCCAACAGACACCACCCTCCAAACCAGCCAAGCGACCTTGCACCAAGATTAAGGACCAAAAAAAATTAAAAAAAGAGCTGTTCCTGGAAGGTATACCTTCCAGGCCAGCTGAAAAACCATTTGCTTGGGTTTCTAATCAGAGTAACTTGCTTTGGTTTCTAATCAGAGTAACAAGCCTAAGACCACAACCCTAGCAAGCCAGATCCCAAGTTATTGGCCCACAAAACACTGATGAAAGAAATTGAAGAGGTTACAAACAAATGGAAAAACATCCATACTTCTGAATCAAAAGAATTAATTTTGTTAAAATAACAATACTACTCAATAAAATCTACAGATTCCGTGTAACTCCTATCAAAATACCAGTGATATTATTCATGAAAATAAAAAAAATTAAATTGTATAGAATCACAAAAGACCCTGCATAGCTAAAGTAATCATGAGCAAAATGAAGAAAACTGGATATCAAAATATACTACAAAGCTATAGTAGCCAAAACAGCATGGTATCAAACAGTACCCCATGGTACTGCCATCAAAACAGACACATAGACCAATGGAACACAATAGAGAACCCAGAAATCAAACAACCTATCTACAGCCAACTAATTTTTGACAAGTTGCCAAGAAGACTCATGAGGAAAGGACAGTCTATTCAATAAATGAAGCTGGGAAAACTGAACATCCATATGCAGAAAAATAAATCTAGACTCCCACCTCTCACACTATATAAAAATCAACTCAAAGTGGATCAAAGAACTAAATGTAAGAACTGAAACTTAAAACTACTAGTAGAAAATATAGGGGACATGCTTCAGGATATTGTTCCAGGAAGAGATTTTGTGAATGAGACCTCGAAAGCACAGGCAACACAAGCAAAAACAAATAAATGGGATTATATCAAACTACAAGTTTCTGCACAGCAAAGAAAACAATCAATATAATGAAAAGACAAGCTACAGAATGGGAGAAAATATTTGCAAACACTCATCTGACAGGGAATTAATATCCAGAATGTGAAAGTAATGTAAATATCTCAACAACAACAAAGAAAAAGAAACTAACAAAAAACACCAAACAATCCCATTTTTAAATGGGCAAATGATCTGAACAGGCAGTTGTGAAAAGAAGACAAATAAATGGCCAATAAGTATGTGAAAAAATGTTCAGTATCACAAATCATCAAGGAAATGCAAATCAAAACCACAGTGAGGTATCATCTCACCTCACTTAGAATGATTATTATCAAAAAGACAAAAAAAATGCAAAATGATGACAAGAATGCCAAGAAAAGCAAGCTGTTGGTGGGAATATAAAATAGTACAGGCACTGTGAAGAACAGTATGAGGACTGCAGGAAAAAAGATAGGTGATTTAAGAAAAATACAGTATGGGGGTTCCTCAAAAAACTACCACCACATTATTCAGCAATCCCATTACTGGGAATTCATCAAAAGGAAAAGGAATCAGTACATCAAAGAGACATTTTCACCTCCATGTTTATTATAGCACTGTTTACACTCTCCAAGATAAAAAGTTAACCCAGGCATTCAACAAAAAACGAATGAATAAAGAAAATGTGGCATACATATATAATGGAATACTATTCAGTCTTAAAAAATAATGAAATTCTGCCATTTGCAGCAACATGGGTAGACCTGGAGAACGTTATGTGCAGTGGAATAAGCCAGGATGGAAGGTCAAACAGTACATGCTCTCACTCATATGCGGACACTAAAAAACGTTGATCTCATAGAAGTAAAATGTAGAACTGAGGATCCTAGAGGCTGGGAAGGGGTGGGAGAAGGAGATTAGGGAGAGATTTGTTAAAGGACACAAAAATTACAACTAGATAGAAGAAATAAGATCTGGTGTTCTATAGCACTGTAGGATGACTGCCATAAATTATACTGTATTACAAAGTTTCAACAGCTAGAAGGAGGATATTGAATGGTCCCAACACAAGCAAATGATAAATGTTTGAGATGTTGAAATACTAATGACCCCAATCTGAGCACTGTACATTGTATGTATCAAAACATCACTATGTACCCAATGTATATGTATTGTTAATTTTAAAATTTAATTTAATTAAAGAAAATCTTTCTTAAAAGATACTTTGACTTTTTCAAAATCAAAGCATTTGTTTTCCAAAATTACCATTAAAAAATTAAAAGGTACTGCATGTGGTGCCTCTTGCCTGTCATCCCAGCACTATGGGAGGTCAAGTTTGGTGCTTGAACCTAGAAGTTTGAGACCAGCCTGGACAACGTGGTGAGACCCCATCTCTACAAAAAATTTAAGAAAAATTAGCTGGACTGTTCACAATAGCAAGGACTTGGAACCAACACAAATACCTGTCAATTACAGACTGGATAAAGAAAATGCGGTACATATACACCACAAAATACTATGCAGCCATAAAAAAGGATGAGTTCATGGCATTTGCACGAACATAGATGAAGCTGGAAACCATCATTCTCAGCAAACAAACATAGGAACTGAAAACCAAACACATATTCTCACTCACTCGTAAGTGGGAGTTGAACAACGAGAACACATGGACACAGGGAGGGGACCATCACACACCAGAGCCAATCAGGAAGTTGGGGGCTAGGGGAGGGATAATATTAGGAGAAATACCTAATGTAGATGATGGGTTGATGGGTGCAGCAAACTACCATGGCACATGTATACCTATGTAACAAACCTGCACGTTCTGCACATGTATCCCAGAACTTAACGTATAATAATAAAGAAAAAGAAAAAGAAATACTTGCTGGGCATGGTGGCATGTTCCTGCAGTCCCAGCTATTCAGGAGGCTGAGGTGGAAGGATTGCTTGAGCCTGGGACATCAAGGCTATGGTCAGCCATGATCACGCCACTGCTCTCCAGCCTGGGTGACAGAGTGAGACCTTGTCTCAAAACAAACAACGAAACTGAAACTAAAAGGCAAAACACAGACTAGAGAAAATATTTGCAAGTGTTGTGTCTGACAAAAGACTAGTATCCACAATACATAAAGAACTTTTTAAAAGTATAAGAAAAACAACACAATAAAAAGTGACAAAAGACTCATACAGAGTTCAGTGAAGATCTTTGAAGGACCTATAAGCATTTTGAAAAGCACTTAGTGAAAATGAATCTCTGGGATACAAGGTTGGTTCAGCATATGTAAATCAATGAACATGATTTATCATGGAAACAGTTAAAGACAAAAACCACATGATCATCTCAATAGATGCAGAAAAGGTTTTTAGTAAAATTCAACATCGTTTTATGTTAAAAACCCTCAAAAAATGGGTATTGAAGGAACATACTTCAAAACAATAAGAGCTATCTATAACAAACCCATAGCCAACATCATACTGAAGTCAAAAGCTGGAAGCATTCCCCTTAAAAACTGGCACAAACAAGGATGCCCTCTTTCACCACTCCTATCAGTGTAGTATTGGAAGTCCTGGCCAGTACAATAAGGCAAGAGAAAGAAATAACCCACAGTTATCAAAATTCTAAGGCCTGATGTGAGCTGGGGTCACTGCTGGTAGCTGAAGTTCAAGTCAGCTCCACTGGAATTCATCCAGCTGCTTTCTCCTGGAAAGGGGAAATAAGCTAATGCTAACACTAGAATCATCATTTCAGTTTCAGGAGCCAACTGAACACAGCGGTGGACTGCAGCCATCACACCTACCAGATGTCCAAAGCACTAAACCCCAGAGCCTAATGACACCTCTGCAGTAGCCAATATACCTAGCACATTTTTTTAAAAGCTTCTATAGTAATGTCTCCCCAGCAAAGGGGTTCTTCTAGAACCAGACATTGGCAGGAGCACCGGCAGGAAGGATCATCGCCAGAAGGTGCATTGGAGTCTCCACTCGTGTTCAAATGTGTAACTCACTGTAGGGATTTTCATTGCCATCATTACATGAAAAAATACTGTTATAGATTCATTTTAAAGATGAGAAATCAAAGGCAGACGGGGGGATATTGCTGTCTTGAGGTCATACAGCCAGCAGGGGTCAGATCCATATGCCATCTAGATCCATATGTCATTAGCTGGACAGGAGAATAGAGACAGCGACGGTGTCTGTTGTCTAGCAGGAGAAAGCAAAAAGGCATTTTAGTTTTTGTTTACATCATTTATCAAGACCCTATCACCAGTGATTTGATTTGATTTTAGAAAGAAGTCTAAAATAAAGTAAGGGCCAGGACTAGTCTCAAACTGCTGGCCTCAAGCAATCCACCTGCTTTGGCCTCTCAAAGTGCTGCAATTACCAGCGTGAGCCACCATAGTTGGGCACACCAGTGATTTAAAAAATGCATTTGGGGCAAGTTAACCAGAAATAGGTTAACTACAGAATCAAGATTTCCACAACCGTACTGACCATCTCCTCTCCAGGATCATGCCTCCCAAAACAGTGTTTTTTTTAACTACATGTAGAAACTTTAAATACTGCCAACACTAGCCTTAGGGTCTTCCCTGAGGCTTTTTAAATTCTCTTTAGCATCCTTAATACATATTTAAGGAACACTCTTTTCACCTTTCTCTTCAGCAGCTCCGTTCCTGAAGCTTCACTCCTGAATTGAATACCTCATCTAGGACAACCCGTCTGTCTGTGAGCGTTTGTAACAGAACATTTCCCAAGCGACACCAATGCCTGTGTCTTCCAGGGAGGGAGCTTAAAAAGAAAGAGTGCGGCTGTTTCATTTACCAGTGTCCCAAAGACTCTGTTCAGAATCTCTGCCTCTCCGAGGGCAAGCCTGCTTGTCCGCAGAGGGATCCTTCTCCCTGTTATACTCATTTAGGATGTACACATCCAGGACTGCAGTTGCTTTTGCTGCTTGAGATACCTGAGTGAGGCAGGTTTGACCCCACCCATGAAAAACTTTTCTGTCAAAACTTTGCCTCTTAAATAAAAACGGATCCATGAGCTGCGTAGCTGCTCCAGAGTGAGGCTCCTGTGTGGCCCAGCAAACACACTCAACTTTGGTTTGCTGAGCACTGCCAGGCATGCATCAGTCTCAAAAAAAGGCACTCAGATACGATTCCAAATCTTTGATTGGCTAACATAGCAAAAACCCAATAAATTCCTGGAAAAAAAGAATGCAATAGGACACTAACAGCAAAAGTGCATTTTGCAGGACTGAGCTCTAGCTTTGGGCTCAAATTCTAGCCCAGCTGTAAACTGTGAGTTCGAGTGATGTATACCTAGATTAGGGAGGACAAATTAGTGAGCTGCATGCTCTGGGACATCCTGGAACACCCCCAGCAGACACTGTTGATTCATGGTGATCCACATGTGGCCTCAGAATCCTTCCTGACCGCACTTTTTGGCATCAGAGAGGAAACCTAGCTATGATCTTGCACTAGATTAAGTGTGTAGACCTAAGAAACCTGCCCATTGGCCTCTGTCCTAGTCTTTGTTCTTTCTTGCCATTGGAGGGTGGGCAGGGATTGTAATGAAGGAGGTCTCTTCTCGCCAAATGAGAGGCGTTCTAAGTCTTTTTACAGCCCTAGAAGAGAATTCTTAGACATTCTTTAAATTATGGATACAAAAGTGTCTGAGATTCACCAAACAATTCTCCAAGCAGAAACAAGACTTGTTAATCCTTTACCCCAAACTGTGTTCTGGGTCCATTTCAGATTGCTTCACTAGGGGACCACCAGCAGGAAGGATCATCATGAGAAAGTGCATTGGAGTCTTCACTCGTGGTCAAATGTGTAACTCACTGTAAGGATTTTCATTGCCATCATTACATGAAAAAATACTGTTATAGCTTCATTTTAAAGATTAGAAATCAAAGGCCGAGGGGGGATATTGCTGTCTTGAGGTCATAGAGCCAGCAGGGGACAGAGCTGGATTGAAAATTGACCATGGCTGGGCGCAGGGGCTCATGCCTGTAATCCCAGCACTTTGCAAGGCTAAGGCGGGTCGATCATTTGAGGTCAGGAGTTTGAGACCAGCCTGACCAGCATGGTGAAAGCTTGTCTCTACTAAAAATACAAAAACACTAGCCGGGTGTGGTGTTGGCATGCCTGTAATCCTAGCTACTCAGGAGGGTGAGGCGTGAGAATCACTTGAACTGGTTGCAGTGAGCTGTGAGACACCGCCACCGCTCTCCAGCCTTGGCGACACAGCGAGAGTCTGTCTTAGAATTTTTAAAAAAGCCCATGATGCTGGTCCCTTGCTTCATACTTCTCCTAAACAGTCCCCTTACAAGAGGACTAGGAATCAACAGTGTCTGTGGATCCCATAGGATTGGGCTTAACAGTAAATTGAGTGATGTGTAGGCTAACAGAAAAGTCCCACCACCTGCTCAACACCACGTCTCCCGCACAACCTCCTCTCACCTACACCTCCCTTAGCCCCAGTGCCCTGGTCCCTGGTGCTCTACAATAAAAAATTCACAGTTTTGGAGTAATCATAGCTTCCACTGGTCATATTTTTTTCTCACCAAGATACCCCTGAAAAGAATATACTTCCTTCATCACCCTGACCTTAGCATGGTTGTAAGCTGACAGAAGGTTTTAACTGACCCCAGCTTTAGGGCTGCACTAGCTACCTGCTTAGAAAAAAAGGAGAGTATCTCCTAAAAAGGCAAAAGGAAGCTTGGACTTGACAGCTGGACAGAAAGAGCTTCGCGCCGTAGTACTCACTCAGGTGCGGTCATCCCCTGGGCTTTAACTTCTCTTGGTTTCAGTTAGCCACAGTCCACTGCTGCCTGAAAATATTACAAACAGGAAGATACTTTGGGAGAGAGAGACATGCACATAACTTTTTTTGAGTATATTATTATAGGTGTTCTATTTTATTATTAGTTACTGATGTTCATCTCTGCTATAGTTTGGATGTTTGTCCATGAAACTTCATGTTGAAATTTGATTTCCTATGATGGAGGTGAGGCCTGATGGGAGGTGTTTTGTTCCTGTGTGTGGACCCGCTCATGAAGAGATGAATGCCCTCCCCGGGAGTGGGAAGACCGAGGGAATTCTCTCTCCGTTAATTCTCAAGAGAGTTGATTTTTAAAAAGAGGCTGGCCCCTCCCTCTCCTCTCTTGCTCCTTTCTTCGTGGGATCCGCATCCACTGGCTCTCCTTCCCCTTCTGCAGTGAGTGGAAGCAGCCAAATAAACCTCTTTTCTTCATAAATTGCCTAGCCTCAGGTATTTCTTTACAGCAGCCCACATGGACTCAGACAATTCTTCCTGTGCCTAATTTACAAATTGAACTTTATTATACATATATATGTAAGAACGAATATAGTGTACATGATGGTTTCTGGCACTCACTGCAGGTGGCACAATGCATCCCCCATGCTGCAGAGGGGCTTTCTGTACTGAGAGCCTGGTCTTTTTTTAGATGAGCATCGACGGGTCTGGGGCAGGGAAGGTGACTCATAGATTTTAAGTCTCGATTCTACTTGTCCATTAGAGTACTCTTTCTCCATCCTGGGGAGTGGGTCGTCCTCCTCAGAAAACAAGGGACTCCACAAGGCAAACTTCTAAACTTGTTACCCGAGTTTAACTTGTTTTTTCCTTATGCTTCCCAGCTAAAATGCTGACATATTTTTATATTGATTTGCTTGGCAGAAAGTTCATTATGAAAACCGATAAGCCAGAAATTCAAGGGAAAAAAATCTCAGCCTCTTCTATTATTGATTAAAAAGAAAAAAAATTGGCTAAGTGTGGTTGCTCACATCTATAATCCCAGCACTTTGGGAGGCTGGGGCAGGAGGATCACATGAGACCAGGAGTTCAAGACCACCCTGAGCAATATAGTGAGACCCTGTCTTTATAGAAAAATGAAACATTTTTAAAAATGCTGAGAAAGAAATAAACAAAATTTAAAGACAGAGCTGACTCTGCGGCTGAAATCATTCCTAGTTCTCAGGTGACAAAGGGCATGGATGGAGTCTGGGGACTTATCACATGAAGGGGCGTGCAGGTGACACTAAAGTTACAGGACATGATGCTGATGCCTGCATAACCGGCTGGGACCAAGAGCGCATCTGAGCCTCTGCAACTCGCCTCTCTCAGGACCATTCAGACCCTTTGGAAGAGAAAAGATCAGTCTTGAATCCTGTTGTATTAAATTTATTAGTGTTGCTCACACACTATCATTCTCTTCGTGTTCTGACAGGAAGGAAATCTTTGTAAAATGCGATATTTGTGTGTCATCTACTTTCTTCCTTTTTTGAGAGCCTGAGTATTTTCTACTGCTTCAACTACCTGAGCATAGGCCGAGGAGCAGGCTGGGTAAACACGGGGAGTGGTGGCTCTCCAGGCAGAGTCAGGTATTATTATGGGTGAGCATTGGCTCTTGTCCCTTGGAGTAAAATCCTCCTATCTTGTGATGTCTGTTCTCATTCCCCCTCCTGCTCTGTCGGTAATTCCTGTGCTGTGCCTGTGATAGGCGTGCAGGTCTGTGACTATTTTCTGAAGTTGTTTTCTTGGGCTCCCTTCCCCATTTATTGCTAATCAGTTCCAAAATTCTTCAAGATTTTCTTTGCTAGTGAGGGATGTTTACCTTGACAGCCACATTTGCAGGCTATACCTCCCAAAATAGATTTATGAAGAAGGAAGACAGAGACCAAGGCTACCAAAGGTCTAATTGCCAATGGACAAGCTACTTTAGAAGGAGGCCGGGAAGACACATCAAGGAGCTTTAGGTTGGGGCTTGCATGGAGAACAGCAGGCAGAGGGGCAGGGCCAGGATCTGAATCCCGAAGACCTGAGCTTCCCATTCTGAAAATGGAGTTCAGTAATACCCTGCCCTACTTTTGTCAGAAGGCATTATGTTAACTGTTGTTACTGGCACAGCCTACGGAATCATACTTCTCTTTTCTCATCTGTATGTTTACAGTGCTCTAGAAGAAAGAGTTTAATTTGATATTTATTGCCATCTTTTAAATAACAGATGATGAGAGATAATGTCATATTTCCAAACTAAAAGGAGGGTGAGCTTGAGCATCATGGCAACATCGAGAGCACTTATTCTATTTCACTCCTTCTGGTCTCTGAGGATCCTGTGAACAGAGGGCAAGAAGAATAAAAAGTGAACTATCTGACTAGGTTGGCCATTTTCTTCAATTGCAGTTCCAGTTATGTCGCTTTCCTGCTCAAAACCCTTCAAACTGAAATCCTTCCACACAGGGCTCAGCCTTCCCTTTCAGCTTTTTACTTTACATCATAACTGGATGACTTTATAGGTTCCCAACTCTGCCCCGCCCCACTTCAAAATCTTCACCTGTCAAAACCCTGCTAATTCTTCAAGGTCCATCTCCAAATCTCTTCTTGATGTCTTCTCTTTGATATAAACTCACTCTCCTCCCTCCTTAGGACACTCTTTCCTCCCTTAGGACATTTGTGGGTGGTGTGTGTGCATTCGTGTGTGTGTGTGTGTGTGTGCAACTAATCCCCTGTGCCTTGTAGTAACAATCATTTGTACCAGTTACGCCGGCGTCTGAGTGTAGGCACCTTCCTAGGGGACAGGTGGATGTGTTCATCATTTGGCTGCCTCTTCAGTTCCTAACACTGTTGGTTGTGCGGTGTTGCCTATTTAAATGCCTGTTTACTGAATCCATTTGTCAAACCATAACTGAATGGGGACCTCATCTCTCCACATACCCCACTTCAAAGTTAAGAATTGCCAGTTAATAACTTGGAAAGTACATGTTTCAAGTTTGAAGAGGAGAATATTAATTCTGAATAGATGCACAAAACATCCTGTCATCTTTCCGTTTCGAGCAGTCACCACCCTGACCCAGCCAAGATCGTGACTTTTAATGCTCTGACTTTATGTTTTAATAGCCCCATCATCTTCTATTTTAGAGTCTGAGATATTCCATATTAAAAAAAAATCTGGGACAACTAGACAGAATTGAATTGTGCATAATGGAAAAGGACTTTGTAAGTCCTCCTTGTGCAAAAGTTAACGGAATTGGAGTTACCCCAGATATCTATCAGTGTCTTTTATACACAAAGAAACTGCCACCGACTCTGTTACTAAATTTGTGCAGCGGGAAGGCTGAAAGACCAGTGTGACCAGCTGTCCTTTCTGCAGTGCATTTGAATGAAGGCTGTTCTTTCCTGAGCAGCTGTAGATGCTGTTTGCTGAGCGTGTTGCTATTTTTGATTCTGCCTTCTTCAAAAAGAAGAAAAAGGAAAGAAAGAAAGGAAAAGTCACACCATCTTTGACAGCTCCATACCCAGCTGCTCTCTGTGCACCTTCCCCGGGCTTGGGACTGTAAATCAGCAAATATTCCTAGATTTGCTTTTGAATTTTCAGCTCACTTTATAGCGATTGCTACTAATTGAATCCATGGTCGTACCTTTGTCTCACATCTGGATCAGCAGAGAAGTTGTAAGCAGGGTTTCCATAGAGCCGGCTCACTGGCTGCATTCCAGGGCTTCATTTTTTTGTTCCCATCTAGCAGCTTATTAATGGGTATTGGTTCCTGGGTAACACTGGTTAAACTGCCCAGAAAGATTCATATGAAGTCTCAGGCGAATCTAAGTCTCCCAGCCACGTGGCTGCAAGCTCCAGCGTTCTGTCAGCATGTAGACCTTCTCCAGCTTGACGATTCACTCGACCTGGCAGCCCCTGCACGGGCAAGGCCACCGTCTAGATTGATCTCTCTGCACCGTGCTCTGCTGATTGGACAACTTGCCTCTTGGGAAGCAGAGTACAATGACGGACTCCAGATCTTTATTGGCAAAGGAGATCTCCGGTTTTCTGCAGCTGCATGTGTACCCTCCATGCCCCACAGCTCACTGCCCTCATTGTGCGGACTGGCCAATCTAACATAATTGCTTACAGAATCCTCCTGGCTCTAGACATTTATACCTCTGGTCTACATTAAGGGATGTTAGAGAACACACACTCCTGACCACCAAACCCTCCTGCGTCACTAGGGTACCTTGTTCAGCAGGATCCGCTACTGGCCTGCTGGCAGCTCAAGCCTTCCTTCCAGCTGCGACCTTCTTAGGCAGCTTCAATGTTCTCCTCATCTGTCAAAGACCTCCTACAAGAAAACAAGACCTCTCTAGTATTCCCCGGTAAACAGAGCTCAATGGCAAACACCCTAAAATATTCGTATGGAACTTATAAAATGACCATGGTGTAACTGAAATAAACAGACAGGACCCTCCAAAGGAAATCCTACTCCTTCACCTCTTCGTGGTGAGGTCGCTGTGGGGTTCGGGCACAGGCACGAACTTGGACACCTGAGCTCATCACCAGCCTCTGTCTATTGTGAGCTCACAGTCTTTGGAAGCTCACAATACAAAAATTAGCTGGGTGCCCACCTGTAATCCCAGCTACTTGGGAGGCTGAGGCAGGAGAATTCCTTGAACCCAGGAGGCAGAGGTTGCAGTGAGCTGAGACTGCACCAAGCCTGGGTGACAAGAGCAAAAGTCTATCTCAAAAAAAGATCGACTTCTCTCTCTCTCAGTTAAGTCATCTGTATAAGAATAATAGTAGTAAGTACATTGTGGAGTTGGTATGAGAAATAAATGATTTAATATATGTGCAAATTATAAAAATAAATGTAATTAAGCTATGGAAATTTATCATTTACATAAACAATTGATATGTAGCTTATAAAAATCTACTAAATCCATAGTTTCAGAATGTTTTAGCTGGCCAGGATGTTGCCAGCGCTACCAGAAGAATTGTTTTGATCAGTTTTTATGATTCCCCCCGCCCCTTCCTGGTTGTGATCATGATAAAGATTTTTTGAAATCCTTATCTTTCCTCAGCAGCTTAAAGGTCAAGGCAAAAAAAAAATATGTAGAATAGTCGGGGATTCTCTTCCACATATGGTTTTAAAATATCAGAGGCAGATTGTCTACCTCTGGGAACCAATTTCTGTATATGCAATAGTCATTACTAAAATATTAGCATGCAGAAGGACATACATTTCAATCAGATTTTAGTGAGCATTTACAAATGAACTTAAAAACACTGGAGTCTACCATTGTCTTGGTGTGTTTTGCCATAAGTCAAATTAATGAATTTCATCTCAGCATTCCTCCTAAGAATGGTGGTAGAAAAGTGTATTTCTTATATTTTGTGAACACAAATCAGCTAGACTGTCATGATCGTTTAGGCCAAGAAAACAAGCACTCATGTTTACTAAATGCCAGAACTATGCTGAAGTGACAATAAAAAAAGAACTGGGTCTGTATGAACAAGAATAATTCACAGTGCTGTTTTTTGAGATTAGTTAGTATATGTATTAGTGCAAAGCTACAATTTGACTTATAACAATCATAATTTTATCAATGAAGTAACTGAAGCCCCAAAATATGAAGATTGCAAAGCTAATAGTCTTTTAACCAAGTTCCTTCCTTTCAACTGCACTGCCCAAGTCAGCATAATAGCCCTCAAATAGAAAATACAACCACTGTGAAGTGCTCAAAATGGAAATCTGTAATCTTTATTAGGCACTTGCCAAAATCTCGAATATATTAGATGAGTAAATGCAGTGCAAAGCCTGAAGCTGATGAAGTTACCTCTACTTTAAATCTGATCTATTTAGAAATCTCTATTTTTCTCAGAGGAAAAAAAATCTCTGGCTGGTTACAGTGGCTCATGCCTGTAAACCCAGCACTTTGGGAGGCCAAGGTAGGCGGATCACCTAAGGTCGGGAGTTTGAGACCAGCCTGGCCAACATGGTGAAACCCTAGCTCTACTAAAAATACAAAAATTAGCTGGGTGTGGTGGTGGGCACCTGTAATCCCAGCTACCTGGGATGCTGAGGCAGGAGAATTCCTTGAACCCAGGAGGCAGAGGTTGCAGTGAGCTGAAACTGTACCCAGCCTGGGCAAGAAGAGCAAAAGTCTATCTCAAAAAAAGAAAAAAAAAAATACTTGTTGTCTTACCTAACCAGAGCACTAACATATACATTGTTGGGCTCTAGCCAATTCTTTTTTTTTTTTTTTTTAATTTTTTATTGGATTATAGGTTTTGGGGTACATGAGCAGAGCATGCAAGACAGTTGCGTAGGTACACACATGGCAGTGTGCTTTGCTTTTCTTCTCCCCTTCACCCACATTTGGCATTTCTCCCCAGGCTATCCCTCGCTACCTCCCCCTCCCACTGGCCCTCCCCTTTTCCCCCCAATAGACCCCACTATTTAGTACTCCCCTTTCTATGTCCAAGTGTTCTCATTTTTCATCACCCACCTATGAGTGAGAATATGCGGTGTTTCATTTTCTGTTCTTGCATCAGTTTGCTGAGGATGATGTTCTCCAGATTCATCCATGTCCCTACAAACGACACAAACTCATCATTTCTGATTGCTGCATAATATTCCATGGTGTATATGTGCCACATTTTTCCAATCCAGTCTATTATCAATGGGCATTTGGGTTGATTCCAGGTCTTTGCTATTGTAAACAGTGCTGCAATGAACATTCGTGTACATGTGTCCTTATAGTAGAACGATTTATAGTCTTTTGGATATATACCCAGTAATGGGATTGCTGGGTCAAATGGAATTTCTATTTCTAAGGCCTGGAGGAATCGCCACACTGTCTTCCACAATGGTTGAACTAATTTACACTCCCACCAACAGTGTAAAAGTGTTCCTTTTTCTCCACATCCTCTCCAGCATCTGTTGTCTCCAGATTTTTTAATGATCGCCATTCTAACTGGCGTGAGATGGTATCTCAATGTGGTTTTGATTTGCATCTCTCTGATGACCAGTGACGATGAGCATTTTTTCATATGATTGTTGGCCTCATATATGTCTTCTTTCGTAAAGTATCTGTTCATGTCCTTTGCCCACTTTTGAATGGGCTTGTTTGTTTTCTTCCTGTAAATCTGTTTGAGTTCTTTGTAAATTCTGGATATCAGCCCTTTGTCAGATGGGTAGACTGCGAAAATTTTTTCCCATTCTGTTGGTTGCCGATCCACTCTAGTGACTGTGCCTTTTGCCGTGCAGAAGCTGTGGAGTTTCATTAGGTCCCATTTGTCTATTTTGGCTTTTGTTGCCAATGCTTTTGGTGTTTTGTTCATGAAGTCCTTGCCTACTCCTATGTCCTGGATAGTTTTGCCTAGATTTCCTTCTAGGGTTTTTATGGTGCCAGGTCTTATGTTTAAGTCTTTAATCCATCTGGAGTTAATTTTAGTGTAAGGTGTCAGGAAGGGGTCCAGTTTCTGCTTTCTGCACATGGCTAGCCAGTTTTCCCAACACCATTTGTTAAACATGGAATCATTTGCCCATTGCTTGTTTTTGTCAGGTATATCAAAGATTGTATAGTTGTATGTATGTTGTATTGCCTCCGGTGCCTCTGTTTTGTTCCATTGGTCTATATCTCTGTTTTGGTACCAGTACCATGCTGTTTTGATTACTGTAGCCTTGTAGTATAGTTTGAAATCCGGTAGGGTGATGCCCCCCGCTGTGTTCTTTTTGCTTAGAATTGACTTGGCTATGCGGGCTCTCTTTTGGTTCCATATGAAGTTCATGGTGGTTTTTTCCAGTTCTGTGAAGAAAGTCAATGGTAGCTTGATGGGGATAGCGTTGATTCTGTAAATTACTTTGGGCAGTATAGCCATTTTCACGATATTAATTCTTCCTAACCATGAACATGGAATGTTTCTCCATCTGTTTGTGTCCTCTCTGATTTCGTTGAGAAGTGGTTTGTAGTTCTCCTTGAAGAGGTCTCTTACGTTCCTTGTGAGTTGTATTCCAAGGTATTTTATTCTTTTTGTAGCAATTGCGAATGGCAGTTCGCTCTTGATTTGGCTTTCTTTAAGTCTGTTATTGGTGTAGACGGATGCTTGTGATTTTTGCACATTGATTTTATATCCTGAGACTTTGCTGAAGTTGCTTATCAGTTTCAGGAGTTTTTGGGCTGAGGCGATGGGGTCTTCTAGGTATACTATCATGTCGTCTGCAAATAGAGACAATTTGGCTTCCACCTGTCCTATTTGAATACCCTTTATTTCTTTTTCTTGCCTGATTGCTCTGGCTAGAACTTCCAGTACTATATTGAATAGGAGTGGTGAGAGAGGGCATCCTTGTCTAGTGCCAGATTTCAAAGGGAATGCTTCTAGTTTTTGCCCATTCAGTATGATATTGGCTGTTGGTTTTTCATAAATAGCTTTTATTACTTTGAGATACGTTCCATCGATACCGAGTTTATTGAGGGTTTTTAGCATAAAGGGCTGTTGAATTTTGTCAAATGCCTTCTCTGCGTCAATTGAGACAATCATGTGGTTTTTGTTTTTGGTTCTGTTTATGTGGTGAATTACGTTGATAGACTTGCGTATGTTGAACCAGCCTTGCATCCCTGGGATGAATCCTACTTGATCATGATGAATAAGTTTTTTGATTTGCTGTTGCAATCGGCTTGCCAATATTTTATTGAAGATTTTTGCATCTATGTTCATCATGGATATTGCCTGAAGTTTTTTTCTCGTTGAGTCTCTGCCGGGTTTTGGTATCAGGATGATGTTGGTCTCATAAAATGATTTGGGAAGGATTCCCTCTTTTTGGATTGTTTCAAATAGTTTTAGAAGGAATGGTACCAGCTCCTCCTTGTGTGTCTGGTAGAATTCGGCTGTGAACCCGTCTGGACCTGGGCTTTTTTTGTGAGGTAGGCTCTTAATTGCTGCCTCAACTTCAGACCTTGTTATTGGTCTATTCATATTTTCAGCTTCCTCCTGGTTTAGGCTTGGGAGGACACAGGAGTCCAGGAATTTATCCATTTCTTCCAGGTTTACTAGTTTATGCGCATAGAGTTGTTTGTAATATTCTCTGATGATGGTTTGAATTTCTGTGGAATCTGTGGTGATTTCCCCTTTATCACTTTTATTGCATCTATTTGGTTGTTCTCTCTTTTATTTTTAATCAATCTGGCTAGTGGTCTGTCTACTTTGTTGATCTTTTCAAAAAACCAGCTCTTGGATTTATTGATTTTTTGAAGGGTTTTTCGTGTCTCAATCTCCTTCAGTTCAGCTCTGATCTTAGTTATTTCTTGTCTTCTGCTGGGTTTTGAGTTTTTTTGATCTTGCTCCTCTAGCTCCTTCAATTTTGATGATAGGGTGTCAATTTTGGATCTCTCCACTCTTCTCATATGGGCACTTATTGCTATATACTTTCCTCTAGAGACTGCTTTAAATGTGTCCCAGAGGTTCTGGCACGTTGTGTCTTCGTTCTCATTGGTTTCGAAGAACTTCTTT